TTATCCAAGGTCCTGGTCACAAAATTTGGAGCGAGAACTCGTTTACGATCCTTGACCCTGGGAGTTGTTTCATTTAACTGTGACACATCCACGCAGTGTTCATCATCAGGGTGAGAACAACTGGCTGTCAGTCATTCATAACAAAAGTGGTGGCTACTTTGGAATTAAGCCTCAAAGTCTCCAAAGGATGGCGCATCTAGTTGTAAAGTTTGACCGCAACCTACTGGATTCAAGCCAATTTTAATCTAGTTTGCAATGATCTTATCACCATGTCAAGGCTTGTGTTTTACCAGCGGGGCACGATTCACAAAAACTGTGAAAAACTTGAAGTGGTGCTTGCATTTATCAGCATCAGTTTTTACGCAAAGAAGTGTTTTTTATTCCAAGTTTATTCTGGTTGTTTCGACAGCATTTGCCAGCACAATAAATTCAAAATCCTTGGATTATGATGCACTAAGCACTGTGCATTACCGGCGAATGGAAATGTGTCGCCTTTTTGTAAAAGATGGTAGGAGGAACTGGGCGCAATATGTCCAGGGAAATCTGTTTTAATTAAAATTACATGCACCTTCAGTGCACATCAAAACCAAACCACACATTCTGGCTACATACAGTAAGTTTAAATTCTATGACTGGTCTTGGTACCACATGACGGCAATAACAATAAAAGGAGTTGAATTTGTTAAAAGAATGGGTTTGCTTTTATAGCTACTGCAGTAATGATGGCACTGGCTACACCGAGGGGTGCGCCTGTGGCAGTCACCTCCGCTCCACTCCGCAGGCTCCTTGTGCACTTCCAGTCTGGAAGCAGTCAATGCAGTTCTGACAACTATGGAGCTAATTACATCTATCTGCGGTCGAAGATCCACCCCAGCTTAGAGAGGCAGTCCGATCTCTTACCCTCGAGTGACCCTAACTTAGGATTTGCTGATTCAAAGGCTGTTTTGTCAAACAACAGTGTACATTACCTTGAAGAAGGATTCAAGAGGAACTAAAAATTGTCATTTGAATAGTCCACCCTTTCACAACACCCGTGGGTACTTCGCATAAAGTATTATTTCCAATTCAGATGCTCTAAAGCGAATCCCTACCTGAATTCAAGGGCACTCCTAGACGACCAGAATGCAAGTGATTTAGGACCCGTAAAAAAATCTACAGCATCTCGATTCGCTAGAATCCTGATCAAGACATTAGAAGTGGAACTGTCGCGATGGAGTATTGGTTTACTGTCTTGCAAGGAAGTTGTTATAGGTGTCGCGCTCACTCAATAATTCCC